AGCCCTTCCTGACGCAGGCCAGTCAGCCATGGCCATGACTCCAATTGGGACAGCCTCGTGGTCGCTGGGGGCCAAGGGCCTGCACAAAGGGAGCGTGAGCGGCCTCGTGGCAGAAAGAAGACTGGGGGCCGCGGGGCGCAGGGCTGACACCCGCCCAGGCCTGGCGCAGGGGAACGGGAGTTACCAGGGTCTGGCTGGAGAAAGGGTCTGTGTAGTTGATCCTCTGGGTGGTGCAGTTCATGTCGCCCGGCTGGCCAGGGCTCCTCAGAGGCGGAATGACCTCGTAATGGTGCTTGCAGCTGAGCAGCTGGGCCTGACCCGGGTACAGAGCAATCCCTAGGGGGCACAAACAGGAAAAGGGGCATGTCAGAAGTCACAGTCCCCGGCCACACCCCTAAAATCACATCACACACATCTTTTCACACCCACCAACAACCCAAGTTCATGACCCCCCAGGTGATGGCAGAGGAGGGAGAACAAGAGGGTTATGGAGGGCGGGGAGCCACGTCGGCGGCCCTCAGAAAGCCCTACTCGAACGGAAGACACAGTCCCCTTCCCAGAAAGCCCCTCTCCTGGCCTCCCTGGCGCCTGCACCAAAACCCACCCCACTTCACAACCCTGCTCAGCACACCCTGAGGGGGCCTCCGTGACGGAGCCTGGCAGCGCCAACCCCCGGCACCACCACCCACCTGCGGATTCACTGGGAGGCCGCAGGCTGTGGGACTCCCCATGGCTCACTTTGCCTCTCACCTCCTGCTCTGATCGGGGCCTCCAGGTGTGCAAGTCACACCCTGACGGTCCCTCCCTGCCCTCAGCCAGAGCACCTCATCCCAGGCTCTACTGACGGTAGCTGTCCAACCTCAGCGCTAGAAACACCTGAGAGCAGTGTGTGACACCAGACACAGGCAGAGCTCGGAGAGACCCAGGGATCAGAAAGTAAAACCCGCAGATCAAGGGACCAAAGCAGACCCACAGAGAAGAGGGACAAACACAAGACAGGGCAAAGATGGGCGAAGAAGCTGCGAGCCGCACACTTTCCAGAAGCCCAGGCAAAAGGCACCCAAGGCTCTGGCTTTGCCCTGTGGCCAGGCCATCCAGAGGGTGAGTCGGGCATCCTGTGGGCAGAGCAGGTGCACACAGTAGGTGGGCACAACCTGAGCCCCCAGAGCTCATGCCCACACTTCCAGAGCCCAGCGCAGCCTCACGGCCCTGAGGCAGACACTCCACTCTACAGCAGAGGTGACTGCCTCCCCGGGGACTGGCCTCCTGCTGGAACAGGAAAGGCAGGGAGCCCCCTCCCCAGGCAGGGCCCCAACCACCTCTGGATGGCTTTACCTCCCCTGCCACCCGTCACTCCCATGGCTCTTCTTCACTAGCTCTAGCCAGGCTAGACATGTCCTCTCCAGAGAAGCCCTCTGCCTCCCTGTACTCACCTTTGCTCCCACTGATCCCCCTCCCAGAAAAACTCTCTTCTCATCTATCAGAGCCTGGCTCAAATCCTATCTCTGTGCAAAGCCCTCCTTGCCCACCCCAGTCACGCAGCGACCATGCCCAGCCCTGTCCACTCCTCTGCTCGGCACGGGACACGCTCTGCTGGGGCCTGACAGCAGCTCCCTGGGTGTGTCCTCTACACCCAGGCCGCGCCCGGGCTCCTCTGGCTGCCTGCAGTGCCCAGCACGGTGGGCGAGCGCAACGGGGGCTCCTCTGTAAGCCAGTGGCCCAGACCTGGGCCCCGATGCCCGTCCGGGGCAGGCTCTCTACCTGGGGCGTCATAGCGATCCACCTCTTTGTAAGACACCGACATGACAGGGTGCTTGAGCTTCTCACGGAAGTCTGTGATGGTCTGGTAGACCAGGAAGACGGCCACCGCCATGAGCAGCAGGTAGATGAAGATGAGCAGGACCGAGAAGACGTTCTTCAGGCAGGCCTTGCTGAAGCGGATGCTGCTGGAGGCCGACTCGCTGTCCAGGGCTGAACAACATCACACCAGTGAGCCGGAGCCCAGCGGCAGGTGACGCCGGAGGTGGTCGGCAACCTCCAGGCCCGTTACCTGCTTTACCAAGGAGGCAAGGTCACCCGCACCCCCAACCCTCCCACCTCAGCCCCCTCCCCCAAATCATAACACGTGGCACATGTCGACATTCACCGGGCACTTACTGCACTGGAAAGGGGGCTCCAAGTGGAAGGAGACCGGTATTCTCTTTAAGAACCTCCCATCTGGAGGACAGAGTTACAATCCAGCATGGAAACCGGCCCCAACTGATTTTTCTGGCCTTCTCCCTTACCACTCTGCTCCTCCAGCACCTCCAGCTCCAGCTGTGCTAAATGACTTTCTGTCCCTCCAGCGCGCAGAGCCCCCCTCGGCCCCGGGGCCCCTCCCATCTGCCCATCCCCGTGCTTGGCCTGAAGCGCTTTTCTTCCACAGCTGACTCCTAACTCACAATTCAGGTTCTGGTTTAGAAGGGCATCTCCTCAAGGAAGCCTTCCCAGACCCATACATTGGTTGGAGGACCCCTTTGTCAGTGCTCCTAAGGCACCCCTCACGTCCCCTCTCGTCACTCTGCAACCTCACTGGTCTGTGGCACGTCTTTCCATCCTCCTTGGCTGTAAGCTCCGTGAGGGCAGGGCCAGTCTTGCTCACGCTGAACCACTAGCCCTTCACAACGTGCCTGGAAGAGAGTGGCATCCTGCATGTCTGTGGTGAGTGACTCGACGGCTGGGTAAATGTGTCCTGATGCCATCCCCACAGCACGGCTCTGCCTCTCCTGCCTGCCCTCAGACTGTCCCCAGCCTTGATTATGCTCTGCTACGGACTAAATTATGTGTCCGTCCAAAAAATTCATACCCTGAAGCCCTAATCTCCAATGTGACTGCGCTTGGAAATAGGGCATCTTTTAAGGAGCTTAATTAAGGTTAAATGAGGGCGTAACGGTGGGGCCCGGATCCAACAGGACTAGTGTCCTTATAAGAAAGATGAAGGGACACCAGGGACATATACACACAGAGAAAAAGCCCCGTGAGGACACGGGGAGAAGGTGGCCATGTGCGAGCCAAGGAGAAGGGCCTCGTGAGAAATCAAACTTGGCCAACACCTTGATCTTTGATTTCCAGTCTCTAGAACTGAGAAAAAAAAATGCCTGTTGATCCAGCCACCCAGCCTGGGGTTCTTCGGTACAGCAGCCCAAGCCGACTGAGACACCCCCAGGCTGCTCTCCACACTGCGTCTACTCCTCGGCCGAAGCCGGAGCTCCCTGAGAAAAAAGCCCTATACCCTCCACAGCGGCTGAGCCCAAAGCTGAGGAGAAGTGTGAATGTAAGTCCAAAAAGGTATGTGCTTGGCTCCTGGCTTCCACCAATGACAGAGTAGCTTAGTCACACCACCCTCCTACAGATAACAATTACAAAGTTTGGGCAAAATCCTTAAAAGTTACATGAAGGCACTGGGGAGCAATCAAAAGCAGGCAGAAACGAGAAGAGTCGACCTTGGAAGGAAAGCAACTGCACCTGATCAGACTTACACATTTGCATGTCGTGCCTGAGGGCACGTCCCCATCTCTACGGGGCACAGTTCCCTATGGCAGTGGGCAGAGTGCAGGGCTGGCAGAGGAGTCAGAAAGCTAAGGGGAACCTTGAAAGGGACGGGATGGGGAGGGTGAACCCCCAAATCTGCAAATAAAATATGTTCAAATTCTTGGCTGGAGACCCCAGGGGGCCCAAGAAAAAAAGCAGCAACTGGAAACGAAAAGAACTGAGTGGAGATTCCAGCTGCTGGTAGTAGAGGGAACCCAGGAGTTGGAACTTGAGTCTCATCACATTAACTACCTGCTAAGACAAAAACCCTTCAGAGGATTGTAAGAAAATCCAGAACCTCCATACTGTACCAATACCGTGTCTACTGTTGAATCAGAAATCACTAGACATGCGCAGAAACAGGAAAACATGATCCAAACGCAAGAAAAAAGTAGTGTGTAGAAACCAAAGCCAAGATGACCCAGATGTTGCCATCAGCAGACAGGAACTTCACAGCACTAGAAGGAATTAAAGGAAAATATATAGATAACAAATGAACAAAGGGGGAATAGAGAAATAGACACCAGAAAAAAGAACCAGGGACACCTGGGTGGCTCAGTCAGTTAAGCATCTGCCTTCAGCTCAGGTCATGATCTCGAGGTCCTGGGATCAAGCCCCACATCGGACTTCCTGCTCAGCAGGGAACCTGTTTCTCCATCTCCCTCTGCCCCTCCCCCCCACCATGCTCTCTCTCTCTCTCAAATAAATAAAGAACCAAATAGAAATTCTAAAGCTGGAAAGTAATGAAATGAAGTGAAAAATTCCCTGCCCTGTCTTAATAGCAAAAGAAGGCAGGAAAAAAAGAGTTAGTGCATTTGAAGTTAAATAAACAAAAGTTAAACAATTTGAAAAAAAAAAAAAACTGAAGGAAAAACTGAACAGAGCTTATCTAGATAACTGTGGGACAATATCCAGCAGTCTAACAACATCTAACTGAAGAGAGAAAATGGGTCACAAAGAGTAGTTGAAAAAATAATGGCTGAAGCGCTTTTCTTCCACAAAACTAGAGAAAAGAAACATCAATTTGCAGATCCCAGAAGCTCAATACATGCCAAGCAGACTAAATAAGAAACCGCTCCCAGGCAAATCACAGTCAAACTACAAACGCAAAGAGAAAAAATCTTGAAAGCAGCTAGAAAAAAAAAAAAAAGACAAATTACATAGAGGATATTATATCTGACAGGTAACTTTTGATCAGAAATAATGGAGGCCAAAAGACAATGGAATATCTTTAAAGGGCTGGAAGGAAAAAATTCTGTCAACCATGAATTAAATCCCAGCAAAACTAACTTTCAAAAAATGAAGGTGAAATAAAGATATTTTCAAACATAAAAGCTGAGAGAATTCATCGCCAACAGATCTGCACCACAATGCATGTTAAAGAAATTCTGAAAGCCAAAGGGAACTAACACTAGATAACTCTCAAACATACAGGAAGGAATAAAGATCACTGAAGTGCTAAACAGGTGGGTAAATATGAAAAGCTGCTTATGTATTTTTAAAACAGAAGACTATCTAAGGTAAAAATTATACAATATCATAAGGTTTATAAGTTGCAGGAAAGAACGGAGAAACAAAAAATACACGAGACAAACAGAAAACAGCAAAATGGTAGGACCAAATCCAACTATATCAATAATTACATTAAATGTAAAACAGACGAGGGGAGGGTCCAAGATGGCAACATAGGAAGACCTTGAACTCATGTCCTCCCACAGTCACATCAATTCTACACCCAGATAGAGAGCAATTCTTCCTGAAGAACTGATGGCTGACCCAACAGCTTCTGCACAACAAAACATAGAGGGACCACACAGAGAAGGGCACGAGAGCTGGGAACACAGTAACAACAGGCACACCTCCCCTGACGCTGCGGACTGGAGTAGAGAGGGATAGCACTGAGGGACCCTGTGCAGTCACCTGCCCTGGGGCACAGAAAAAAAGCTGTGGTTTAAAAGGCTTAAATGACTAAAGGTGAAGGAAACCCATTCACTAACCCTAGAGCCTCTGACAAACGGTGGGCAAATTGCTAGAATTTTCTCTGGGGTCAGAGGTGCTGGGGAGCACCACCGTTTATGTTGCCCCTTCACCTTGGTAGCACAGATGGGAGGAGAGGTTAGACACTCGAGCCTGCCTACTGCCTCAGTGAGCTTCAGGCCCCCAGCCCATACCAACCCTAGCCATATTCCCAAGGTGCCCCCCTCAACCCAGGCCTACTCAAGCACCAGGTGACCCAGCATGGCACACCCCAACCCATGCCTGCTCAAGCGCCAGGTGGTCCCAGCATGACACACCCCAGACCCCCATCCCACCCTCACCTGTGCCAGCTTCAGTTTTCCCTTCCAGGGTGCCCCCTGCAGAGAACACCCAGGGACCCCGAGTTGGCACCCACTACAGCTCCAGTCAGCCAGCCAAAGCTACACCCAGCCAGGCACACACAGTCTATGCAGAGGAGTTCCTACATGAAGGTTACTCTTTCCAAACAGGAAGAGGCAGCTGTTTCACCTAATTCATGGAAACAAACACAGAAGATCAAACAAAATGAAGAGACATATAAACATTCTCCAAACAAAAGAACAAGACAAATCTTCAGAAAAAAACTAAACAAAACAGAGATAAGCAAGCTACCTGATTAATAATCATAAACATGCTCATGAGACTAAGAGAGGAGTGGATGAGCTCAGTGAGAAATTCAACAAAGAGAAAGAAAACATAAAAAAGAACCAACCAGAGTTGAAGAATACAGTAACTGAAATGAAAAATACAGGAGAGGACATCAACAGCAGATTAGCAGATGCAGAACGGATCAGCAATCTGGAAGAAAGGATAATGTAAAGTACCCACTGAACAGCAAAAAGAAAAAAGAATTTTAAAAAATAAGGATAGGTTATTGACAGATGAATGGATAAAAAAGATGTGGTGTGTGTGTGTGTGTGTGTATATATTGTGTGTGTATACATTCCATTGTGTGTATAAACACGCAATGGAATACTACTCAGCCATCATAAAAATGAAATCTTGCCATTTGGAATGACATGGATGGAACTAGAGGGTATTATGCTAAGAGAAATAAGTCAATCAAAGAAAGACAATTATCATATGACCTCACTCATATGTGGAATTTTTTTTTTATTAAAGATTTTTATTTATTTATTTGAGAGAAAGAATGAGAGAGAGAGAGAGAGAGCACATGAGAGGGGGGAGGGTCAGAGGAAGAAGCAGACTCCCTGCCGAGCAGGGAGCCTGATGCGGG